ATTGCTAATTATTTCAATTAGGTCAGCCTCATCGTCTGAGCCTATAGTTTTGCCTTACTTAAGTCCCCTTGTTTTGCGCAAAGAGGTGGAGTTTGTGTTGGATCACGAGAGCAACATGTGCCTTGTAAGCGACACTTTTGTGGAGGATCACCCAATTATTTTCTGGAATTTGGTGAGCATTTATGTCATTCAAAATTTTAATGATGTTTTAAATGATTTCTTGACAAATTTTTTCTCTTGAACAAAGGAATACAATATTGTGGTGAAATCATTGATACTTTTTATGTTTGTGTAATGACATTAGATGGGGTTCAAAACATGAATCTGACTTGTGACAATAACATTGATGTAGCATGTTGCTGCCTGAATATCTTTCACCAATTCATGTGTCATTTTAGCTTTATAAAGCCTTGTATTTGTTTTCTCTGCTGCGTTATCTTAATTCTTATATTTCTTCTATACAATAGCTCAGTTTTTTTATTGTTTTGCCAACACTATATTAATTTGATAAGGAAACTGTGTGTTGGCTAGCAAGTTGTTTCAAGTAGAGTTGAACTCTTAAGTAAGAGGAAGTAAAATATAGCACTGACATGAAATTAAATACTCCCTCCACTAGGTTTGGTTTTTCCGTCGAATTGAACTGCCAACACACCTGACAGGTTTCCTGCTGACATCAAAAGCTTTCAATGCCAACAAGAAAGATGAGGTCAGTTATAACTTTTAGAGACTGTTAGCACTGTTAGATCGTTAGGCTGGTGGCTGCCTGGTCATGTCAGGCTCTGGACTGTCGTATCAATAGTCCTGGTTTTGAGCCCTGCCTTTCCCCGTCTCCCACAGCCCCCTACGGGAGATTTTGGGCTTGTATAGAATGATCTTCCATTCTGAAGGAACAACCATAACTTGTCAAACAAAAGGAGAACTTAGAACATTGCAGTCAGACCAAGGCTAGCTGACATTAGAGCATTAGAAATGTGGATTTTGTTATTTCTTAAATTCATTTATTATAATAAGTAGTAGTATTATAAAGTTATTGTCTTTTATTAGTGAAGATTATTTCTAAGTTTATATTTCTATAGCTCCAGTCTGGCAATAAAACCAAAAGCTACACCAGCCAGAATATTTTGATAAGACCCCAGTGGGATAACATTCGAATACATGATGAGATAGGACTTCCAATGTATTTAGCTTGGCGAGCAGGTTAGTGCATTAGCCGTTGTCTGATTTCTGTGTTAACAAATCATTAGGTTCTGGCTATATTATTCTGCAACTAATTGTCTTGTAATTTTCTAATAGGTCACAAGTCTACAGTTGTTGATGCGTTAGTTATAGAATCTGATTGCTTCAGTCGACCGTAAGTAGCATTTAGTTCACCTAGACCGGTTCTTTAATTCTATTGGGGTTTTCAACAGCTATTAGATTGTCGGAGATCAAGAAAAAGACTATTGGATTCACAGAATAATCCTATAGCTGACATTGCAATAGCTAAACTTTTAGCACAGTAGCCAAACTTATTAAATACAATAGCAAACTTCTGATTTAAAAAAAAAATTTTGCCCGACTGTACTTCTACTATATTTTGCATCATTAACTATTCTTCATTTTGCACTTTTTCTCTACAGCATAATGTGGCAAATTGTTTCTGCCATTAAACGAAATGATGTGTTGGCTGCTGTCAAAATTGTGGTTAGCGCTAGGAAGAAAATTAACTCCAAGAAGAGACGTTTCCGCAGCATGTATAGGGAGATTCTGTTTTTGTCCTTTGCTGAATGTGGCAGAGAGAATATTGACCATGGTACGAAACATTTTATCTATTAGGAAAATGTAAAACATAAAAGTGACGTGTTTTTTTTTTTAATCTATGATCACAACTAGCTTACGACTTTCTACATTAACATATAAGATAATTAATGTAAAACACAAAAAAACTTGAAAATTCATTGAGTGAAATAGTGACAAAAAATCTTTTTTTTTTTTTTTTTTGTCCTGATTTCTTAGAAATATTAGTTACAAGAATGGTAAATAGTTATTAACATATTTTACAAGGTAACACATTTATTGAAAACGATTCTAATTTGAACAGAAGCATTTGATAGAGAATACAGTGCTTGCTTTCAAGAGAAACTCGAGCAATGGGAAATTCAGAGATTACAACTTGATGATCATCCTAAAGCTGCCAATGTCAAATGGTGCCGGAAAGTCTTTGCAGAGTTGGAAGTTTGAGTTGTGACACGTGGACAGAGCTGGGGGTTGTGACGCTGTGAGATCACTCTGTGAGATCTGCTGGACACGTGGACAGAGCTTGGGCTGCACAATTGTCGTACCTTCTTTTTTTACTCTTCAATATTTCTGTTATGTGCATCACAGAGTGTCACAGCTGTAAAGATGTTCACCGTACAGTTCAACACAATGACGCTGACATGTTTACATATTTTTTTGTGTGTGTAAATCATCAGCAATAATTTATGTTTAGGAATATTCTTTTTTTTTTTTTTGGTTATGAATCAAGATCTCTTGAGTTTGACCAGAGCCATTCTTACATTTGGCCTATTACATTGAGCTATTCACTTTGGCTCATTAAGAATACGCTCACTTGAAACTTTCTTTGGAGACTGCTTGTGAAGAAACCCAATTCCCTATGAATGACAAAAAGGTGCGTGTTTGGGCAATGTGATACTGACTTACTTTCTGAATTGCAATTCAGATGTATATAACTGTGTACATATATATACAGCCAGTCAAGTGATACAATGACACCAGTTGTTACTATTCTGTTGAAATGCTTTAGTACTTGTTTTCTTTGTAACTAATATTGTCTAAATGTGTTACACTTTATAGATGACCTTTTTACGTATAAATATATTTATACAGTGTCTATTCAAACTTAATATTGTCTGTTAGAATGGCTCAGGAGAATGTCATGTGTTATGATGTAAGTCATAGAAATGGTGTAAGCTGTGAGCTGAACACTCTTCATAATTTGTAGAAATAGGATCAAAAGAATTGATCTAAATAGGGATTAACCCCAATTCTAAGTTAGACAAAAGTTTTAATTTGTAATCTGCTCTTTCTATTGGACCTTAGTTGACCTTTAATCATCATTAGTGTAAATAGTCAAACCCTTCTAAAGCAGCCTTATCTTCTATCTTCAGTGCTGTCGAGTCTTCACCTATACCTCAGATCAGCAGCATCTTGACATTACAGTCTAGTTCTGGAGGCATTCATTTATATAGATTACTCACTGAAAGCTTTTTTTTTTTTTCTTAATTTTTTTTTCTGTAGTATCAGTAGTTCTGCTTTAGTATTTCTTCTATTTCTGTAGTAATTGCCTAAGCTTTTTTCCTGCAGTAGAATCTCTATTTAACTTTTGGCTTAAATCTAGTATTAGAACTCTTTGTATGTAGGATTTAAAGAACAATGCTTGTTGAAGGGAATTAAATAATGCAATATTTAGTTTTTAGTTTATTAAACCACTGTGTTCTGTTCAGCCCATATTATCATTTTGTAAAGACTTATATTTTGCCTTCATTTGCACAGTGACTTTACTAGCAACAATGAAAGGAGTTAAAAGTACTTTTCTCATTCAGTGAAATCACGTGGAAAAATACTTGAGTAACATGTTCAAATCAGCATAATATTGTTTAACTTTTGCACAAGGACTATGTCAGTATGAACCATTTAACGTTGAGAGCAAACTAGTTGTTCAATTAGAAATGTGTCCTATGGTTGTTAATATTGTTTTGAAAGGGAAGGGTTAAAAAGTTTGTTATGGTTGGGTGATGATTGCGATAAGCATTGTTGCCTCACAGGCAAATAAGCTAATGAGCATTAACACCAGACCATCAGCAGCATACATCGAGATGCTTTGGGGTAAAAACTTGTTAACTTCAGAGGTTGGGATAGCAACAAAATTTAACACTCCTTTTTAAGTACAACACTCGAGTTATTAGAAAACATTGTTTATTGGTGTCAGAAGTGAGGTTTAGATGACTCACAGTTGTATTTCATGTTTATTTCAATTACAAGGAACTGGTAGATAATGTCTTTGAGTTGCACATTCCACTCTCTCTTCTCTCACAGAGACATTAATCGTCTTATACGGTGAACTTGGATCTTATAGTCAGCTCTAGTTTTACTTAAACTTAGTCTTTATGATATTGGCTTTGGGTGGAGTATACTGTTTATTTTTTTTAAACTAACAAGGGAATGAGTGCTTGTTAAATTCAGCAATGTTTTATTATCAAGTATTTCACTGCAATATGAACTTCTTGTATTGTGCATAGAATCCTTTTCTATTTTTTTTTTATGATTGTATCAAAATTGAAGAAATATTCATTTGCTCAATGAGTAGAATTTCTACACCTCCATTGGTCAAAGAACTACTGCAATAATGTTCTTGTCCATTTGGTTTAAAGACTAAATCATTGATGTTATTGGTTGGTTTTAAACTCGTTGTAAAAGTCTAAGGAAGCAAGTAGTGATGATTGTGTCTAAAGACAATGGAAGTATGTGATGATTGTGTCTGTAGAAATACGAAGTGAGGATTGTATGTACTGAGGATAGTGTCTTTCAGTTGATTCAACAATTTCCTTGTTAAAAAACTTCATGTTATCATGGCTATGAAATTTGTCATTGTGGTCAGAGGATTCCAAATAGAAGCCAGTCAAATGGAGTTGCTATGTTACCAAACTATTTTTGTATTGTGTTTGAAGTGGAGCGGGAATATCTCTGCTGTGTAAACAACTTAAACATTAACTTCACAGAACTGTTCATCTCAATATCCTTATTCCATTTCAGTCTGAGCTTGAAAAAAGATGATGTCCACCTTAACCCTCTCTACCCATTCCTCATTGCGTTGGGATAAAGCCCATGATTAGTCTCACTACTCATTCCTCATTGCATTGGGATAAAGCCCATGATTAGTCTCACTACTCATTCCGTCGGGATAAAGCCCATGATTAGTCTCTCTACTTCTTTCTTCACCCCCTCCCCCCCCCCCCCCCCCCCCACCCACCACCACCTTGTGTTATAAAAGGTTTGATGAGAATAATTGGTTCAAATGTTAAGCTTGACCAGTAAGAGTTGTCTCCCTTAACTCAGCCAGTTGAATGCTTTTTCACCATTTCAATTTATTCATTGCTTCAGCTTCATACTGTTTGTGATAGGTATTTGTTCTATGCTGTTGTAGTCAACAAACTATTTTTTCAGTCAATAAATTTTTGGAAACACTTAAAGCATGAGTTGTACTTGTACTAATATATTCCCAGCATGTTAATAGAAAGGAGGTGGACATTAGTTGCGTTCATTCCTGTGACAGTACAGAGAAATGACATGTTTGAGGTCTGACGTGGTCTTTCTTGAAATGTTCCAATGAAAATGGGTTCTAACTAGAAGAGATCCCTTGTGGCATTTTCACAGTAACCCCATAGGTCAATGTTCTACTGAGCTAGCATTGACTGATAGAAGAAATTTCTGGTTCTAAAATAATCCTCAAGATACAATTTGAATTGTTGGCTTGAACATTCGTCTCATCAATATTTTATAAGCAGTAAATCATGAACACCAGTCATGGATCAGAAGTGGTCTAACTCTGTAGTCATAAAATATACAAATAGTGAATAAATGCAAATTTGTAAAAAAAAGAATTATATCAAATAGCAGATAAAACTTGAGCATGACATTACTTGAAAGAAGATATTAGGTCTTTAGTAGACCAGAAATGGAATTGAAAACAATTCAAGTCAAGACTAAAGAAAACACTTATATGCTATATTTTTTTTTTATTCCTTTCAAAAATCACTTTGTAGATAATTTATGGACATTATAAGATACAATAGATATAAATAATTACTATTCCATTAAAGTGGCTAATGAAGACTTTCCTTTCTGGCAAATACATGCATATATCACGCACATTGACAAAGGTATCCTGACTCTTCCAAACTGAACTGGTGTAGAACAATTTAAATCTATAGAAAAATGATTATTGGCATTTGCACTTAGTGACAAAAAAAAAAAAGGTATACACAGGAGGAAGTAAAAATGAAATATAAAATGTTGGCATTACATAATAAAAAGCCTGATTAAAGTAGTAGTTATTTCTTGTCCATAAAATGCGTTATATTTGAACATGTACCATGTCAATGTCACATGAGACAATTTTATAGATTTATTATTTATAAATTAAAAGAAACAAAAATTTAAACTAATGTATAGACATGTTTTTGGATAAGACAAAGATAATGAAGATTAAACCCAGCTAGCACAGAACTCATCACTTTGAGAAAGTGGAATCCTTCACCTACTTGGGTAGCATCATACATGAAACAGATGTTGGTGTCAAGGCAAGAATCGGAAAAGCAAGGGTCGCCTTCATCTGGACGGCTAGAGAAATTTCCCTGACAACAAAGATTTGTCTCTTTAACTCAAATGTTAAGGCCATCTTGCTTTATGGAGTGTAGACCTGGACAACTAAAATTGCCATTAGGAAAGTGAAAACTTTCAACAACAGTTGCCTAGGAAGAATCCTTGGCCACCATCAGCAACAGTGGCCTCTTGCAAAGATTCAACCAAACTCCTGTAGAAGAAGAAATCAGAAAGAGAAGATAATGCTGGATTGGGCACACACTTGCACAAATCGCCAACTAGCATCACAAGGATGTGGATCCCACAAGGTCAGAGAGAGAGCACTAGAGACAGACATAGTTAAGTTTGGTTACACCTGGAACAAGATGGCCCAGGACTATGTTGGTGGCCCATACTCCAATAGGGCTGACAGGCTGTAAGTAATAGACTTGTTTACACTGTAACAGGTTTTGACTTTTGAATTAGAAAGTGTAAAAAAACAAACAAGTTCTAGTTTATCTTACTGCTGAGAGAGAGGCTAAATTTCAATTCATGAGCTATGTCCCCTTGCAACAATTATTTCTTGTGCCTCTGACAATATTAAGCGAATATATTTGTTGTAGTTTAGAATGCAAGAGACAGGTCAACACAAGTTTTCTAATATACATACACTAATACTTTTGACAAATTTCAATCTCATTCTATTGAACCATGCAGGCCCAATGTCCAGATCATTTCATTCATTTTGTTTCCAAACAACTGAATCTGAATATCTTAAAAAAAAAAAAGGGGGTAGAGAGAAGTTCTTATATTCAATCTAATTTTTTTGGCTGTTTTTTTTTTTTATCTCTATGCCTGTTTGTTTTTTTAAATCGTAAAAGAATATCCAACATTCCAAAGGTCATTGCAGAAGGCTGAGACAGCATTCTTCTTATCAGACTACCAAAGAGCTAGGTAGCCACAAGCTACATCATTTTAGGAGAAAGAGAAGTACTAGACAAGCCTGAAAGAAAATTACTTTCAGAAGGAAGACAGGAACATAACTTCTCTACTAAGATATCTGACATAAGAGACCTATAAGTGAAGAAGTCAAAAAATTAAGATTACAATCTAGGTTAAATTTTTTAAAAATGGGTTTAAATGCTGACAGATAAATAATAATTTGAAGTTATAGATAAATGAAGACTACATTTTACCATACAAATTTTTTTCACTTTTCATACTTAATAATCTTTGAAAAATTTAAATTAAGAAACAGAATTAACCAAATGAAAAATTCTCAAAAAATTTATATCAAATGGTGGTTAGTTCAAAAAAAAAAAAGTCGAAAGTATTGAGAATAGAATCATCTGATTGTTGAAATATCTTAAAATTAATTTCAACTTGTAAATATTTTTATCTCCTTTCTCAAAAGAAGTTATCGTAACATATTTTTTGCAACTGATTCAAGAATGTGTTATGTAATCTTAGTTTTGTTCATTCAAATATCCTCATAAAAAATAGTTTTCAGTGATATATAATCTGTCAGTTGTTTTCTCATCCAATCAGTTATCAACCATTGACTCCATAGATTTTCAGCATCAAATCAACTGACAGCCATCAACTCTACAAATAAAATGCCAGACACACATGTTAAAAACATACATTTTAAAGCTAAACTAGGACAAATGTGATCAAACGTCAACTTTTCTTTTAGGTCTATGAGAAATACAGTAGAACAGTGATAGAACAAAGTCGCCAGGAGCCATACTTCGTTGTAACCAATTAGTACAAATATAAGAGGGTGAGGTAACTATTATTTTCCTTGTGGTGAAAGATAGATGACCCATGCATGGTTAAATATTATGTCTGCACAGATTGGTTCCTGCAAGGTTCCATTGTTGCTGTATGCCATGAATCATAGCTGCTCTGCTCTCTGTTTGCACCAAAGAAGTGCAATGTTAAGTGGGCGGAAGGTTTACCAGGGGCTGAAATGAATAGAATACATTCAGAACAGTGTGTTGGCTTGACAGACTTAACTTGTTTGGTCCACTAGGACAGGTGTTAAGGGGCCCTAACTGAAGCAGGGAACGATGCCTTGCATTCCTGGCTCACAGCTCAACCCAAAACCTTTTATGAGGGCTTCAGAAAGCTTGTGCTATGATCAATAAAACACATTGGAAAGCAAAGGGACTACCGGTATGTTGAATAAAATGTATGTGTATTATTTTTACTAATAAATTTTTAACCACACTGCCGATAATAGATGACTGACATATATATAGATATACAAACTATTATCATTTTAAATAATTGGCTTTTGTATAATATCTAGGTAAGGCAAAATGATAAGATAATGACTAGAGTTCCGGTATGTTACATTGGAATCCTGTTGAACTTGCATTTCTGTCTCTTCTAGAATGAGGAGACTGTAAATGAAGATAATGTAATCGACTCAATCCCAAGAACTAGGTACAAGTTATAAGCTGCTTGATGTACTAGCAGTTTGAACAAATGCCCCCCCCCCCCCCCAAAAATGACAAATAATGGCTTCTAAATGACTCAACGTCTAACTGTTAAAGTCAATGCTGTTGATATCCCTGTTCTACTGTAAGTAAGATGATAATGCACATGTACATAAAGGCACAGGGAGTTCTGATACACACACAAGATCTCAAACAGTCTATGTAAACTCTAGATCAATGTGAGCAGATCATGAGACACACTTGCATATATATCATTAGTGAGTACAGCCACTCAAGTGAGCAATGTGGTTGTAACCTTAGGCAAAAATTGATCAATAAAAAGATGTACAAGTCAACTTGAGGTCAATACACTCACTACCTGGCACCATTGATGCACATGCAGTTACTAACTTATCAGACCTTTTGTCACAGGTCCATATAGTCTACTAGACTCATTGGGCTTTAAAGCTAGTGAAATTACACGTGACTAAAGCAGTATTCCTTTATCAGTATTAAACATGCATTCTACATAGTAAGAGATGGCACATTGTTATGAAATAGTACAAGTAGAAAGGAGACTTAGAGATTAAAAATTGTGCTATATTCAGTTCGAAGGAATATTTATTGTTTTTAATTCAACATAAACTAACTAGCTTGAAGACACTTCCATTTTCTCTTTAAATTTCTTTTGGTGAAAGTAATCATCATCTCTTGGGGAATAAACCATCTTCTACTAAGTGCATCCCTTGGTGGTAGAGAGGGAATGGCTCCTAGACGAAAGGGCTGTGCGTGTTCAATAAAAACCTGCTGACCAACTGGTTTGTGGTCATCCAGGTTGAGGTATCTAGAAAGTTAAACTCAACAGCTGTCACAAAATAAGAGTGCTCTATATCTGGCCTGATAAAACGTATAGCAATTTACTTTCCAAAATGAAGCAACTGCTGCCGAGCAGACATTTTCAGATGATTAAAAGCTACATGCGTAAAGAAAAGCTCAAAGTATTAAATTATCAAAAAAATTATCAAAATGCCATTTGATGATGGTAAGTAACATTCTTTGTTTTAGAAAAAAAAAATTCAAACAGATGTTTTATTAATATCAAAGTCGTTGTCTGAGTAATGCCACTGGTTGATTCAAATACAATCGGACAGTGGCAAGTAGAAACCAGAATAAGATCTTTCTATCAACAAGACAAGATAAGCCAGGTGTCGAGAATAACTTGGTGAATCCCAAGACTAATTATGAACTGAATGTCTACCATGTATTATGTAACTGCCAGTATTATGGTCATATTAAATAAGTCCATAGTCAACAAAACTCTAAACCTAATGTTTTTTTTTATATTGTCGTTCACCTTTCACATGGTTGAAAACTTCAGTCACACACTCAGTGAAAAAAAAATCAATGAGCAACCAAAACATTGAAGACCTGATCAAGTAGAGTTCA